CAAGCATTTAGGCAGCTCCAAATAGCTGCCACAAGAGATTCAAGATTTTCTCAAACTATTTCAATTATTGTGTTTATTTCATTCATTCATAAAACAATAAAAATAATCTATAAAAACAAATCATAGAAAAATCAAAATGAAAAAACAAACAAAACAAACAAAAATATTCAATAAAATCATGACTGAAAAGGAGCAGAAAGAAGTGTAAACTTATAATATCTGCCCCATTCACTAAAAAATAAAATCAGTTCCAAACAAGTCCACTGTCAGCATACAGAAAAAATGAAAAACAAAAGAACCCCCTGAACACAAAAATACAAACAGAACATCACCTTAATCTGTAATATAATGCTTCAGCATAATAATTTTCAAGTTGTTTTTAAACACAAATAAAGATTTAGACTGTTTCACCTCACTATGATAAAATGATAACTTTTAGTTAAAAGTAAATATAAATCAAAAAATATAAAGAACGTTATTCTTTTGTTTATTATCTTGATTAAGAAGAAGAAAATGTCTCTATGTTTAAGAAGACACAATGTGGTTTAAACTAAGTTTTAAAAGGAACAGAGTTTTGTCTCTCTGAAGGAGGGTTTTTGAGACCAAGGTCAAAGACAGGCGGAACGGTTTATTCCACCTCGAGGTGACCACTACACCCCCTTTCAATAATTTTCCTCGGTTTTTATTTTTATTCACAGCCATCTGAATATAAATACCCGAACATAAATAACCTTGTGTGTAAGTTGGAGGGTGTGTTCAAAGATCTCCTGTGGTTTGCATCTTTAATCAGCTGAAGCATTAAAAAAGAGTTGTCTTTTAAACTTTTAATTTTGAACACATCTTGCGGGTGCACTGCTCCGAAATACATTTTGCATTTCCAATAAAGCTCAGGTGAATCCATTTTCAACTGCAAATACAGTATATCAGTTTACTTGTTTGTGAAATTGGAACTCAAACCTCTATGGAGACATCTTGTTGGCAAATATCTGAATGTGTAAAACCCCTCATCGCAGCATTTTTCTTAGACAATAAAATTAGATTTCATCAACATACCCCACATGTTAGAAATTTACTGTTATTCTAATACATACAGTTTGTATAATAAAGCACGTTTTTCTTGCATAAACTGCCTTAAATTTCTCCATAAAGGTTTTTAAATAGTTTGTTCTGATTCAAACCACAAGTAAATCTGAGAGGAATCCCTGAGTGGCAGTAATTCCCAGTTTCCTTCCCTCGCTTGCTTTGTTGGACCCATCATAACTTGTGCCTGTCTGTGTTCACGTGTGCTGCATCCAGGTATCAGGAGGAGTACAGTATGGACTCAACCAATGCCCAGTAAGTCTCTGGTAGCATCATGCTTGCATGGCATGGATTGTGTCTGCAGTGATAACTGGACTGCACCAAAAAATGTTGCACAGTTCACGTTGGTCTTTGAGGTCACCATGTGTGGAACATGCCACATTCAACCACTCCAGCAGTTATTTTACCTACAAAGGTGGAAGAATCTGTACCTATGATGGAGAGTTTTTGTTTTTTGACTACCTTTCCACCAATTGTTTTGGAAAAGACAATCCTACCCCACGATTAAATTAAGTAACATTCAATAATTTCACAAATAATGGTGAAAAGGTAGTTTAAGTGTTTATCTGTATACTCTTGGTGTATTGACTGAATGTGCACGCAAGTCTTTTGCCTTTGCCAGTATGACATTTGGGCTTGAAATATAGTTCATTTGAGGAAAATTAGGAAAAAAAATAAAATATTTTGAACTTGGTGGTATCTCACTGAGCTGCGATTGTTGGGAGACTATTAGGACCCAAAAATGCAAAACCATATGGATTTCTTTTGTTGTAGTCTCACTTCGCTTTTCTTAATTTTTGTACAAAGTAACCAATGAAGTTATAGCTGTTTTTCTGTTATGTAACTTCATTTTTGGCTGTGCACATTATTCTGTTGAACAGGCTTGTTTCCACATTGACAGACATCCTTACGTTTACATTTTAATCTGCTAAAGTACGCTTTTAAATAAAGATAAGGAGGTTTGAACCATTTTCCCCTAAATTCTGATATTCATCATTAATGTAATTTTTCAAGATTGACATTTGCCTCAGGTGTTTTCTGTCAGAAGGGATCCATGTGTTTAAAACACTAACCAAACACCTGTGACATAAATCAGGTGGGTTTGAGATGGGTTACAGACCCCCACGATAATCTTGCAAAAAGTTGTTGCACAAATTCTTTGAGCATGTTTATAGCTCAAGAGCCTAGGTTGCTGCATCTCTGCGACTCACAGTTAAGAATCTTGCAAAAGTTACAAGACATTTGGGAAATTCACTTTTGAAGGTCATTCAGCCTCTGCCTGCATCCCAGTGAGATACCACCTTTAGGTGTCCAAAGTTGGTCCTCAAGGGCCGGTGTGTCCTGCATGTGTTTGGAGCTGCCCTGGTTCAACACAGCTGCTTCTGCAGACCTTGATGGCATACTGAGGAAGCCTACTAATTAAGCACTCCTTAGGTTCAGCTGTGTTGAACCAGGGCAGCTCCAAAAACATGCAGGACACCGGCCCTTGAGGACCGACTTTAGACACCGTGCAAACTGCATGTAGCGATTCTGAAAACGTCCAACAGTTTCAGCTGATTTGAAAACTGGATTGTAGATTTACATTGCAATCACTTGAGATTTGAGAAATCTGTGATGATCATCAGGCTGTCCGGATGTGGCACTTTAACATTTAATAAAAATAATTCAGAAAAATTCACTGATGAGCAGAATGTTTTGCTCAGCTATGTGGTAAAATGTGGATGTGACAAGTGTGAAGTGGTAAGTATTCTGTTTGGAATTCATGACTGGTGTCTGAAATCTTCAAAGACTCAAAGCCTGAATGATGCAAGGAAGCAAAATGTGAACAAGCATTGAATATTTTTAGTCAGTTTTCTCAGGTAAAAGGATGATAGAAATAGATGGTCGATGTTGAGATAGTCAGTCAGGGTTGGTCATTTAGTAGGATTATAGGGTTAGTAGGAACAAGGACCAACCACTGACCAATGATTGCGTTGGATTTATTTCTTATGTCAGTTGGATTTTGCATCAAATTGTGCAAAATAAGATGGGTATTTGACCGCAGTGTATTTAAAGAATAAAATGATATCAACTGTTGTTAAAAGAAGACAGAAGCACAAATATTTTGTGAGTTGTAATCATGCAGGCCAGGCTTATTCTTGATGTTTGATTGTTTTTGCAAAGTGGAGCCATTTCCACTGATCTTAAGATAAATATAGATTTCACAGCATTTGTGTTCGTTTTTTTTAACTTCCTGTGACTCCAGAAATGTAATTAACTTTTATCAGTGGTGGGCAGTGCTAACCCAAAAACTAGCTCCGCAATTTCTAAAGCGCTTATGAAAATATTTAGGTCCGCAACTTCAAAAACGCTTATGCCATAGAAAAACTAGCGGAAGCTAATTTTAAAGTACAATTTCAATTTGACACTTAGTAGCTGGCAACAATTCATGTACAATATATATGTACAGCACTGCCAACTAGCAATGTATGAACCCTTGTACAGCTTAATCCTACAAGTGCCGATTGCTGGGGTCCTGAAACAGAACTTTAGCTCCTGGCGTAAAAATTAAAAAGTTGTTGAGGATTGGTAGTTCGGCTGATTCTTTAAAAAGTTGTTGAGGATTGCTAGTTCGGCTGATTCTTTAAAAAGTTGTTGAGGATTGCTAGTTCGGCTGATTCTTTAAAAAGTTGTTGAGGATTGCTAGTTCGACTGCTTCTTTGTCTTTTTCTTTTGTTTATTGTAGATTTTTCATTAAAGAAGCATCGATAAAGCAATTTTAAAACTGTTTATTGGAAAACTGAAGCGATTCATTTTGGGTACACGACGGATTTGATTTGTGACGGGAAACAAAAGTTTTCCATGTAGTTGCTCCAGTTGACCACTAGATGTCTGTCTAACCCCGTTGGCGGATTGCTTCGACCAATTACGTCAAGTATTAAGCTCCAGCGTTTAAACTTTGTTTATTTATTTTTTAAAAGGAGCTCCTATTGTATAGTAAAATAAATCAATACATAACACAATTTTAGTATGGATTACAAACGTTAACTGTTTTTGCTGGGAAAGGGAGCACTAAACATTGCTTTCCTGCTACGTAAGCAGACACAAAGCATTGTGGGAAATGAGAACCATGTCTGAGAGCAACTGTCAGCAAGGATGTATATTTTTCCAATAAGTGTGTTTATCTGGGAGGGGTGCTGTTGGATATAGGTCACGTGTGTAGTGATTCATTGACAGCCATACCTTCCGCTGTTCAAGATATTGATGACTGGTAGATAATTACTTATTAGCAGTATTGCTTTTTAATTTTAGAAAGCGCAAATCCACTTATGAATTAAAAAAATTTGTAAAACCGCTAATGCACAAACAAAATATTTAGGTCCGGAATTAGTGGATTTGCGCTTTAGCAGACTGGTGCCCACCACTGCCTTTTATCTTAATTATCTTACGCTGGTCTAAAGCAGCTGTGAAGGTCAGGTAAAAAACGTGTCGATGCAGATGGGTTTATCAGCATTCTTGCCTTAAACACAAAGATCGCAATGAATTTTTAATTCTAATTTAAACTCATTGTAATGGCTGGTTTACATTTGAAACATTACCTTAGTGATAAGATGTTTTTCCACTCAGTATTTAGTCGGCCGATTCTGTCAAAGGGATATCCTAAATATTTTTGATAAAAAATACTTCCCACTGCTTTACTGTTGTCTTCCCAGTTTCTTCAGTAATAATGAAGATACTCCACAGTGTGTTACAAAACAGTAACATAATTGTGACGGCAGAGAGATGGAAGGGAAACACTAAAACCTAAAAATAGGACCATTCTGAAAGGATTTCAACCCGCAGCTGTTTTTATCGGCTGCTTGACCTTTCAAATCCAAATAATATCACACGTCCCATCAGACAGACTGATGCTTCAAAGTCACCAGAGAATAGCTAAAAATATAAACATCCTCATCTCATTCAACATTAAAGTGATGGCTTGCAGTTAATGGGACGAGACAACTGTCTGTGCAGCTCTGATGTGTCCCTAATGGATCATTATTAAACTTTTTTTGATTAGAGGAAGCGATCCATCAACACACTTTGTCCATAAAATATAATTAGGCTCTACTTGGACAGAAAAGTTTGGATTCTGCATGTCAGCATTAGATTCCCTGCAGAGTTTGCTTTGAGAGCAATGTAAGTCGGAGCTGTGTAATTGTTGAAAAGTACATTATCATAAGAGGATGTGCTGAGCATGAGGGTTTCCTTCATCACAACCTGCTCTTTTCTAATGATTTTTTACAAAGAAATTCAGCCTGGCAGAGGAGATTTGATCAATGTTTTCCAGAGCTAAAGGTCGTCTTTATTTCACAGCAGGAGGCTTTAAATTTAAGGCACCACATCTCGGCGTGCTGTTAAAGGGAGCAAGGATCAGGAACGTTATAAAACACACTCAGCTGCTGGTAATTGTTTTCTTGATGCTGTAGTTTTTCATTTGTTACGCAACCTTGAGGTTTGTTTTGGTAACAGGAAAAAAAGTTTAAGATGCCTTATGTTATTAAAGAAAGTTTTTGACATTTTCAGATTGTGAGCATGCCTCCCGTTCTGAGTTTTAGCATGTTTTATTCCAACTTTCCACATGAATTTAAAGGTGATATATAATGCAAAATCCACTTTTTTAGCTGTTAAATGCATTTTGTTGTGTACTTGGAGTCTCTAGGAGTGCTTCACCCGCTTCATCTTTAATTAAATTGTAAATAAAACATTTCTCCAAGCTAGAAAGTGTTGCCCCCTCTCTCAAACCAGTGTGGACCGGTCTGGAAGCTGGAGGGGGGCGGGGATTGAAGCCTCTTAAAGTAACAGTAACAAAACCAACTGCTTTGAGACACACACCACAAAAGTGGTGAAAGAGGGGCTGGTAAAGTTAGATTGAGAAGGAATTCAGACCAAATCATTGTAGTTCCACTTTAAAAAGTCTGAATGATTTAAGTGAAAAGGAAGGATTTTAAAGCAGGATGATACATTGGAACTTAAATGTATTATTTAACCAAATGTGACCGTCACAAAGACAATGAAACCCATTAAATATTACAAACCTTTAGTTTGTAATAATATTTTGGCAAAAGCATCCAAAAATTGTCATTTGTGGATTTGAAATTCCAAAACATTTAATATAGCTTTAAAAATATTAGAACAGTTTATAAATGATTTGGTTTAAATGTTCAAATTTAAAGTGTATCCACAATAGAAGAGAAGACACTACTTAGTGAAAAGTTAAAATTAACAGCATTTAAATTAAGCTTGCAATATTTATTTTCTTCCATAAGTTTGTATTTCTTGTTTAGCTCAGTTTGGATTTAAAGCTTTAAAACCAACACTAGTTCCAAAGCATCAAAATGTGAAAACATAGAATAAGATTTGCACAACGGTTTTTTTCAAGAAGTGGTCTGACCCAGGATCCCTCTGAAGCCAATGAGATGCAATACTTTTTAATGTAAATTTGTTTGGATAAAATGAAACCACCCGAGAAGCAGGCCTAATTAAAGTGATGTTGTTTAAGCTTACAGTGATGTAAACAAAGTGAGCTTAGTTTTTTTAACTCCACACACAAGCTTCTTGACAGACCTTGAAAGACACATGGCAGCTATTTTTTTAGTTATGCAACACACAGATGCTGATGCTGCGCTGAACGTGAATAAATTCTGCTGCAGTGCACTCAAAGGGCTGTGGAGAAAATGCAGGAAGTTTAAAATCTTTTCAACCCCATGAAACACGTGCCTCGGTGTACAGACCCTGCAGGAGACCTGAGAGGACCTATTCATGCTCTTAATCCTTCAATAAGTCTTCAGTTCTTCCTCCTCCCATTAAAGTGATTGGTTTTCTTTTCACTGATTTTAACAAGTTTTACTTTAACCTCTTTATGAGTCCTGAAAAAAAAAATATATATATATAT